ACAAGGCCAGGATCCAGAATTCTGCATCCCAGGGCTTGGGGAGTTCTTCTGACCCCCTACCTTTCCAGGAGAAATGTACAATACCACAGAAACTTTGGGAGCACTTTCTCTGCTGCCTGAAGTGCAAGGGATAAGTGGGAATCCAGTTGTCTGTGCTTTTGTAAGGGACAGGGAGGAGTGTGACAGGTGGTGGCTTGGCTGCAGAGAGGGGTTTGCCACATGCATCTCCTGGCAGAACCCTGAGCAAGAAACTCCTGACTTAGATAAAATAGGCAGTAAAATCTGTTTTGATGCCCATTTACCACCTGCTGCCCTGTGTTCCTCAATGCTTTTCTTAGAGCTTGGTCATGTCACCTGCCAGAGATCAGAAGTGTTTGGGCAATTCTCTCTGACCCATGGTGTGATTTTTGGGATTATCTTGTGAATGCCCAGGAGCTGGACTTGTTGACCCTTTTGGGTCTCTTCCCACTCAGGGTATTCTATGTTTCCACTGATATTGCAACAGAAGTGCAGGCTCAGGGGTCACCATGTGTGCCTGGGTCCAGCCTGCTTGAACAGAGGCTTTAATTTCTGTCTGGCACCAATGGGCTTTGGAGGAGCCTTGAATGAAAGAAACCTGGTGGAAAGCTGAGATCAGTCAGCTTCACATGGCATCAGGAGAAGCTGTTACCTCCTTTGCCAGCTTCACTCCATGCTCATAGGTGAGTGGTTTCTCCTTCATGTAAAGCAGCCGCGCCAAAGTCTTGGGATCATCCCGGAGGTCAATCTAGCGGAAAATACACAAAATCTGTGCTGTAATCCTTGAGGCTGATATTTATGGCTTTACAGACCCACATCAGGGCATATGTATCACTCTCTACTCAAGTGATACTTCAGAAATTAATTTCATGTTTACTTACCTTTTCTTTCTTTTTTTTTTTTTTTTCAGTTTACCATGAATTAGTTCTCCTTTGCAGGTGCTCAGATGGGTCTGCTTCAGGAAGGAGCCCCACTGGTAGGGGAAGCTACTGCAACCCTGCACTTCATCACCCAAACCCCAGCCTGACAGGCCAGACACAGCTCAGTCTGACTTGAAACCAAATCCTTTATTTCCATGGAAGACATCAGAGTAAGGCATTTCAAACCTGTCCATTTTCAGACTGTGTGATCCAAAGGATAATGCTTTTATTTTTAAATGGGTGTTTTAGATGATCCCAATGTAGAAAACAGTGTTTGAATTATTTGCCTTTCCTGTGGCATGAAGATTTTGGTTTTGACCAGAATTTTATTTGTTCTCTAATTTGACTTAGGTTACTGTCCAGTGCTCTGACATTTTCCATGTGGTTGGATCCCTACCCTCACAGTCTCTATCCACTTTGTGTCTTGGTAACAAACCCATATTTAAGGCATTTTTATTTGATTGACAGATTCATAAATTTTAAGGCCAAAATGAAGAGGTTTGATCATTCAGTCTGACAATCACTGTAATACAAACAGGATGGTGAGTCACCAGTTGTAATGTTGATGTAAAAGCATGAAGGAAGGCCACTTCCTTCCCATGTCATTTGGCTAATTACTCCCATTCTTAAAATTTAGTTTGAAGTTTATCTTCAGCTTCTAGCCACAAAGTTTGATGTTTTTTTCTCCTCATTAGAGACCTGTACGACAACTTTTCTCCCTATAGGTATTTATGACTTGTTGCCACATTAACATACATTTGAATAAAAAGATGGGATGAGCTTTGCTAGTCTGTACACTTGCATGTTGGCTTCAATTCCCTGTCCCTGAGTTTTCCTATAATGGGAAAAATCTGGCTGAATTTCCCATGAGTTAAATAGGAAAGCTTTCCAGAGAGCCCAGGTAAAAGCCTGGGAGAAGCTTTACCTGAGTTCCTATGAGGACGTAAGGCACGTTGGGCATGCAGACCTTCAGCTCGGGCACCCACTCCTCCTGCACGTTGTGGTAGGAGGCAGGATTCACCACCGAGAAGCAGATCAAGAACACGTCTGTGTTGGGGTAGGACAGCGGTCTCAGCTGGTTGTAGTCCTCCTGCCAGGGGAGAACAGCAAGAGTGTCACAAGGAGGGGATGGCTGCAAGTGGGGTGTGATGAAGTGGTCAACACTGCCCATACTCATTCACACTTCTAAGCTCCAGGTGGCTGCTGGAGAGGTGGGGGGAACTCCCCTCAGAGTACAAGGGTGCTGATATATCAGCATTTTACCAAAAAGAGCTGAAAAATGCCCCATCTCTGGAAGTGTTCAAAGCCATGCTGGATGGGGCTGTGAGCAACCTGGTCTAGTGAAAAGT